CTCTCTCTCTCTCTCTCTCTCTCTCTCTCTCTCTCGCTCTCTCATACTCACTCTCTACCTTTCGCAGGACCGGAAGATGAACTGGAAGCGAGGGTCCTTCGCGAATCGCTCGAACATCACGACTTCTTCGGCGTCGGCGACACGTTCACGACGCACGACCTCTTCGACGCGCGCGTCCACCTCGGCCACGCGCTCGGCTCGCTCGACGCGCGCATGCGCCAGTTCGTGTTCGGACAGCGCCTCGGTCAGCTCATCATCGACCTTGAACAGACGGCGCCACTGCTGCGCGACGCGCTCAACTTCACCGCACACATCGCCTACCGCCGCGGCATCGTGCTGTTCGTCAGCCGGCAGCCGCAGACCGCGGCCATCGTCGAGAAGGCTGCGCAGGAGTGCGGCGAGTACGCGCACTGCCGCTACTGGCAGGGCGGCGTGCTGACGAATGCCAACGAGCAGTTCGGCGCCGTCACGCGACTACCGGACGTCGTCGTCTTCCTCTGCACGCTCAACTCGGTGTTCGAGTCGCACATCGCCGTCCGCGACGCGGCGAAGATGCTCATACCGACCGTCGGCGTCGTCGACACCAACTGCGATCCGAATCTGGTGACTTATCCCGTGCCGGGGAACGACGACACGCCGGCGGCCGTGCGTCTCTACTGCAGACTGTTCAAGGAGGCCGTGCTGCGGGGCAAGGCCAAGCGGACGGAGATGGAGCAGCGGTTGCGGTCGGAGATGGAGCTGCGGTAACCACACGGGCTTGAGTGATGTGTGTGCCAACAGGGGAAAAAATACCTTTTTTTTTTTTCACTGGAGCTCTTTTTCAAGTCTGTCGAAAAAATAGCTCATGTCAAAAATGTTATGGGAGCTATTTTGAGCCTCACGGGAGCGATTTCGGAGGTTTGAAGAGCGGATCGCTCATCGCTCCTGTGTATTTTTTACCCTGGGGGGGGGGAGTCATGGAAGAGGGAGCATAAATGCAAAACGCGCGTTGCCGTCACGATTGGCCTGCAGATGTTTCATTATGCAGTCAGGATTTGTTCGATTCTCGACAGAAAATTCAAGAGCCGACTTATTACTGACCAAAAGCATGTGTATGTGTGCATAGGTTTTAGCAAATAGATAGGATAAGAATTATAACATCTACATACGCGTGTGGCATGCAATGCGAACTTATGGAGGATTGGACTTCAAGCTGTTGCTGCCTTGCATAAGAAATGTCATAAAATGAACATTGTTATGTGTGACTAAGACTAAGAGGTCCAATGGTCTGGATATCTACAAACACATCTGACGACTTCATTAACAAGTACAGAATTTTGCAATGCACTAATTGCAATCACGCACATAGGCCTGATAGTTATAATAAAGATATTAGTATGTGTACAGTTCATAAAAATCTGAATAAAACGTAATTTAGTATTATACAAATTAGTGAATTACATTAATTCACATAAAATTGTGTGTGGATTGATATGTTGTGAAAGAGAAATACCTAATAATTACAAAAAATGAAGTACTTTCCTATATTTGTATGTGTAATTATAAAACAAAATTCCATGTGTACACTCACAAAAGATCAATTGCAAAACTCAAGAATACAGATGTAACAGAATATGTTGCTATTTCATAACATTGAAGCTTCTACATTACATCAATGCCTTCTACACAGTAGCATCCCCCATATTATGGCAGTAAAATAGCAAAAATTAATCAATTCTCACAATAAAAACAATGCACAAAAGCAGTGTTGATGACATTACCTGAATTTGCTCACAATTTTTTCATGATCACAATTTCTAAAGACATACACATTTGTACAAAATAAGAGTATATCTTATATACTGTAATACAATGCATTGTTTACTGTAATTTGGTTCGTGCCTACTTTGTGTTTACAGAGTGCAATAATGTGAGGTGGCTTGGTTACAACACACTGAGATTTACACCTAGATATTTACAAATGTTTATTGATAATAGAGTTCCAAGTTCATTCCATCTTTGATTTCATAATCCTCCAATGTTATGTGGTCCTTGAAAATTGTATACCTGCAAGTTGAGAGGTATACGTCGTCACGATTCACTTCTAACATAAATTAACCAAGGTCATGGTTTATATATACAGAGATGTCAAGTTTGAGAAATGGTTGAGAGTGAGACTCGGCGTTGAGCAGAGCGACACCGGCCGAGGGAGCGAAGCGACCAGGGGGGGGGGGAGCTTTTCGAAATTTGAGGTTTGAAATGGTGCAATTTAGTGCATACCTATGGTATGATTTATTGCCTTTATAAATATAAGTTCTTACTCATTTTGAATGATTAGAAGTATTGGGAAATATATTATCTACTCTTGGAAATATAAATTCGCCAATTTTTTTATGACTCAGCATGTGTGTCATGTGTTATGCCACTTTATCACAGTAAAAGTGCAAGCTGAGAATTGAAAAGTAAACAAAATACCTCAGTAACCTGCAAAGCCATCATCCAGGCGGGATATTGGATTCCAAGCAGGCAAATAAAATGCGCGCCGCTTATAGCGTATACGTATTATACCTATACGGCCGGAGCGAGCTAGCTAGCTGGGCGGCCGCGGAGCGGCGCTGTTGATCGGGCCTTAGCCTTCCGATACTAGTATACTGGTATCTGGGACTGAAAATAGGGGGTTTTAATTATTTATTTATTGATTTTGATTTTTGCGCGGGAGCGTGAGACTTGACATGTCTGTATATATGCAACACACAGAATAAGTGAATATAATAAAATTGCTTTTAAATTCGCTAATCTTCTTTATAAGTTAGGCATCAAATAAACATTGTTACAGACTAAATTAACATTGTGATTAAATTTTCTAAAAGAAATGCATTACCAAAAATTTACAGAAATTCATACTACCATTTCTTAAGGACAATTTTATCCCATTTTGTTCCTGTTTGTGCTGCAACAAGCTTCTTTAAGTCTCCAATTGTGTCATCAGGACTAATTCACACAGAGTTAAAGACACTAACAGGTAAAATTGTTAGCATTTTATATAACACGTGAAAAGTTGTACAAGTTTTTAGTAATCATTTAGATTTCTTAAATGGGCAATAAGTAGGCACATTGTTAGAAATATAACTGCCCCTAACAATAAACCAAATTGCATAAGGAATTATATATATTCTTATATTGCCTTTAAAAGGATACTTGCACTTCACGCGCACCTTTTTTCCAAGCCGATCATTGCATGTAATCTCAATCATGTTGTGTCGTAATTTAACTGTAAAGAATTAAAAAAATTAAAGTGACATTAAAATACTCACTTGTATTGCTTGCATAACAGAGTGTTTACGGGGTCTGTAGTCAACTCGCCTTGCCGGCAAACTCGACCCGTGTGCCGAGTTTACCCGCCTGGAGGTCGGACAGCTCGGCTCCTGGGTCGAGATGACCGTCCTGGAGATTGGGCAGCTCCACTTACCGGCTAATTCAGGATTGAAAACTGAGATTGATCATGTGTGACAAAATTATACTCTACGCATAATAAAAGGTTATTCCCACACACGTTTTGACGTCGGAATGTAAAAACGAGCTAGACCGTGAGCCGAGCTGTCCGACCTCCAAGCGGGTAAACTCACCACGATGCAAGTCGAGTTGGCGGGTGGGACAAGTTGACCAGTGCCCTATATTACTTGTATATATATATAGCATAGACTATCAATATCATATTCGTTGTCTCTCTTTCTCTTGCTGTATACATGTATTTGTCTATAAAAATATATAAATGCTGTCGTGTATTTATTAAAGTTTGTTTTCAGGCGAGTAAAAATTATTATACTTTATAGATCTGCATTTGGTGATTATCCAATTGAAATGTTGTGGGGCAGTCACATAACGACATAATCCGAGATTCCTCTGACCAATGGCCATGCCCACACCGACGATTTTGGTGGTTTTGGTGTGGGTTAGTGGTGAGCGAGATGGCTTAGCCACTCTAACCCACACCAAAACCACCAAAATCGTCGGTGTGGGCATTGGTCAGAGGAATCTCGGACTAATAACAACAGATATCAGGGGGCCGTTGTCAGAAACAAAATTAGTCGCAACATTAGTCTTAACATTAGCTTCCACTCGTAAACCGTTGACAGAAACATCGTAAGGTTACGAGAACGAAAAATCCTCGCAAATATCCTCATAACATTACGAGAGCCCAGACCGTCTCGTAACTTTAATATTAA